AGACGTCATTAAAATCAGTGATTCTCGACCTTTTTTTCCGTACCGGTCCTTTTGGCAGGTGTGACCCACTTGGGTTGGGAAAAGGCACAGCCCGTCTTGTCTGCGACCCCCGGGGCCCAGGGAGAAAGGCCTGCTGGGGGATTCTGTGTGCTTTGTCATCACCAGGCACACCTTGATAGTCATTGATTTCAGTGCTGCTCCGATTGTCACAGGAGGTAGTGTGAGAACAGCTCAACTCCTTGCATGATGAAATTTAGCTCTGCCCTGCTACAATGACACCAACCTTTGATTGATGGGAGGCGTCACAAGTGGAGTATCTTATGACTCCATTGCGTGAAGATGATGAGCTTCCTAATTGTTTCCTGCCAGTAACGTCAGCCCCCGTGAGCCAGCAGCCCGTGCTCCCAGGCTGTTTGTAAGGAGAGCAATGATCTGTGCCGAGTCTCTTCTCGACAGACCTTCAGTTCTGCCGGAGGGTGGTCACCACTGGCTCTACCCAACGTATTTCTATTAAGAGATCAAGCCAGATGGAATATATTTTGGTTTAAAAGTGAGAACACAATTTAACAGAACAAGAATCTTTTTAACAATGTTATCAAGGTATAATTTATATACTATAATATCCATCCATTCTTTAAAGTAGAATGGAATGCTTTTAAGCAAATTTATAGTTGTACAACTGCCCCCATGATCTTGATTTTGAACATTTCCATCATCAAAACCCTGGCTCCTCCCCACCCCCACCACGCGCATCCCATCCACCTCCCTTGTGACTGTTGATAGGGAGGGAAAGCATGAGCATAAAGCAGAGGGGGAAAGGGGGTGGGGGGTGGGGTGAGTAGCAGCACAAAGCCCTTTGGAAAGGAAATCAGGATGTGACCCACTGTGGAAGCGGAGGGGTTGGCTTTCAATAGGATCAAGAGTGGGAGGAAAAATGGTCTCAGATCTGGGTTTGTGGTAAGTGTCTGGCTTTGTATAGTTATTAAAATTTGTTTTAAAAGCGTGTCATTACAGTGCAGCCCTTCACTGATGGGTGATTATCTCACACTTTGCTTCCTCTGTGTGCTGTCTGCCCATAACATGCTCCCTTCTCCTCCCCCCATTGTAGCATCAGCCACTACGTGATCGTCATGTCCATGACCATTTTTCTGGTGTTTCTCAACGGCCTGGCGCAGCTGCTCACCACAAAGAAACTCCGATGGCGTGGCAGCCCCAAGAGCCATCTCATCTGACGATGCTGAAGTTGTTGTGCTGCATCTGGATCCTAGTCCTTGTTCTCCTTATGAGCTCTGCCGCCAAGCCGTCAGATCCCACCAAGGGGTCGAAAAGAAGAAGGATGCTGATGCGTGGCATTGTCTGCTCCTCAAAGGGAAACGATATTTGGAATTCTGAACTGACAGGTTATGGGACACGAGTTTCCTTTTATGCAGACAGCTTTGCATGCAGGAAATAGCGATGGGCTCTGGAGGCGGACGGAGGACAGCGCCCCCATTGCCCTGGTTGTCTTGACCGGCAGCTCTTCTCGTGGATGCTTCTCCTTTTCCCCTGCAGCACCCGGCCTCCCCCTTACAGCTTCCCATGCACCCCAAGGACCATGTGTTCCCGTGGGGGCGGAGTCTGCGAGGATTGACTGTACCCCGCATCAGTGATGTGGCTGAAGGGAAGGGGACTCTGCGGGTGGCACCAGAGCCACCACTAAACCGTGTCACTGGGATGTGCCGTTATAATTCACTGACACGACAGAGGGAAAGCCGCTTGCAGATGTGTGCCATTTCCTTCGGTGTGCACTGCTACTGTCTTGCCTGCCCCACGCAGTTCAAGTGATGACCTTCTCATGGTCAGCCAGCACAATGGAGATTAAACTTTCACTCTTCTCCCTCCGTCTCTGGATGCTCAAAGAATCTTGTGGCAATAGCCAAGCAGAAGTGCCAGGTCTTCATGTTTAACCCACGGGGAAGCATTTAACAAGCAGGATTTCAGTGGCAGGCTCCACATCTGTTATGCCTACAGCATTGTTTTATAGATCAGCGCTTAAACTTTCTGGCAGTATCAGAAGAATTAGTCTGACAATTACTGTTTGTTCTGGCTATATAACTCTAACCCAGAGCCCTTTCAGTAAATCTAGATTTCCATTTGTAAAACAATTCTAATGGACATAGTATTTTGAGAGCAAGTTTTATGTGAATTTTGCATAGAGTGACCTTTACGTATCACTATGGACTTGGCTTTTTGCTGTAGACACACATTCTTTTTTTTTTTCCTTCCTCTTGGTACTACAAATGTGGTGTGCCAGTTGCTTTTGGCTGGAGCTAAACTCTGCTGGTGTGAGCTTCCTTTTTACACACACACATATGTGTGTGTGTGTGTCTGTGTGTAACTTTTGGATTAGGTTACGATGCTGTTGTTAGGTGCCATCAAGATGGATCTGACACTAACTCACAGTAACGATGGCAGTCTCTCTGCAGATGACTAGCATTTTGAACTCAGCGGGTGAGTGAACACATTCACTTCAGCGGACTTGAACATCAGCTGGACAAAGTGTGCTTTCTTCGTGTCGAGTTGTGAAGAAGCGTTGTTGTGCCTTGTTTGTGTGAACACTTGGTGGCACCGCAGCAGAAACATAGGACGAGAAAGGGAGAAGCGAGGGTGTTGCTCTGAGGCACCTGCTGCAGGCTGTAGTCTGACCTCAGCGGACACTTAAGAAGCTACTGCTTGAGCGATACTGGCAGCTCGATGGAGTGACCTGCTATCTTCTCATTAGTTTTTCACACGTCCAAGGAAACACATTCTGTACGCACGTGCTGTTTAACTTTCCCCAGGAGTTCCCCGGGGACTCAGGCTGCACGATGTACACACTGTGAGGGGCCCGGTGCCCTGTCTGTGCTGGCGGAGGCTGGCTTTGTCTTGCTGTTGCTGGGTGGTTGTGGGATGAGTTTGCAAAAGGGGACAGTGCATGGTGACCAGAACTGGACTGCTCTGACTGTTCCCCGGGAAGCATTTGCTCCTGGGCCGTTGCTGGGACAGGCCCACTCCAAGCCTCTGGTTCCCTAGTGTGTATGAAAGTGATGTTGACGCTGCACCATGGCTGGTCTGTACAGTGTGTACAGCGGCATGACGAGAAAGTTTGAAATAGTGTCCAGTGCCCACATTGTGCCCCAGACACGCCCATTGGGAGATTGGCACCAATAGAGCCACACGCTGCAGGATTGCCCTGACCTTGCCCCGTCCTGTTTGTGACATGCGGGAAGCCAGGCCTGCCAGAACCTGGGGTGGTGAACCTCTGTCAGCGTTGTAAAAGGTCTATTTTTATATTGAATTCAGAGAAAAATAAACAAAAACATTGTATTTGTTCATTTTTTGTTCTGTGTCATATTAGATTTCTATCTCAGGATTTAAGACATCTGCTGACTAGCATTGTTTCTCAGTAGGAATTAAAAGGGGAAAGCTGGAACTATTTATAGGCTTTTTCCCCTTTTATCTCATGTCTATCCATATAAGATAGACAGGATAACCAATCCCATGGAGAAAATAATGGGGCGGACGGCTCTGGGAGACATGGGAG